GCAATGGACGTTCCATAGGATCCCGCACTACTGAAAAAACATTTTTGCATAGTGAGGGCTTTTTTTTCCAGGCGGGTATGACTTTTGGAGTCAAATGGCTGCCTACGAAAATATAAATTGAGGTGAAGCTCACCGTCCATCTACGAAAAATCAATTTTTCCAGACGGAGCTCTTAAGCGGTCCGCCTGCAAAAATACCTTTATTTTCACAGGCGGACTTCTTAAGTAGTCCACCTGAAAAAATTTGATTTTTGCAGGCGGAACCTTATGTGATCCACCTGTAAAAGTCATGCCTACCTAAAAAAATTCTAAGTCCTATCCTTATCTTCTCCTCCACCATCTTATCCTCCCCACTACTCGTTCTTTACCCTCCTCTCTCTCTCTCTATCATTTCCCTCCGGCTCGAGCGGCAGGCACAAAGGCTCCCTCCCCCGGCGACGGCGGCGTGGGCCGCCGGTGGAGAGGAGGGGCCGCGGCAGTGGAGGTGCGGCCGAAGGGGAAGCGGTGGCGACGAGGAGGTGAGGCGGCGACTTGGGCAGAGGGGAGGTCGGCTCCCCTCCCTCTCCTCTCCCTCAGCTCTACTCTCCCTCTGCCGCTGGCCACGATGATGATGACGCCGCCGCTTGGGTCCCACACCGACTGCAACGACGATGACGCCGCCGCCTGGATTTGCTCCCCTCTCTCTCCTCCCCCTCAGCTTAGTCTCCCTCTGCCACCGGCCGTGACGACGACGACACCGATGCTTGGGACCCACCACCGATTGCGACAACGACACTGTCGTCGCCTGGATCTAGTTCGCCTGGATCCATCGGAGGGGGAGTCCGGCGGCGCCGCCGATGGGTTGGGTGGTGGCGCTGGATTTTTTTTGTTAGTTAAAAATATTTTCGCAAGCAAGTGGATCTACCTCTTACGAAAATAATAGATACCGCCTGTAAAAAAGGATGCCCGCCTACGAAAATCATCTATTTTTTCAGTCATTTGTCTACAGGCGGTCCTTCCTCCGTCTGAAAAAACTATTTTTGGCCGCCTACAAAAAATGCTTTTTCGAGTAGTTTCGTTCCCTAGTATTTTTCTTTTATAAGGAATATAATTATATAAATATAGCTAGTCTCTCGTTTGCACGAATCATTTGTCTTTGGCTGTTATGTAAGCATAAAGTTCTGTTAGGTTTTCTTTTTTTTTTCTCTGCTAGAAAAAATACCCGTGCGTTGCAACGGGTAAAGATGTTTTTTTAGTGATATATTAAGAGAATAAGAGCTAAGTAATAAATTGAAATATTGGGATCACTATACATTATAATTGAAAAGGTTAATGAAAATCCTAATATCGGGATTGCTATATATAGATTATAATTAAAAAAAAGTTAATAAAAATCTTTTCTTGGTTTTGGGATGAAAACCTGCCTTCCTTTTCAGCCCTAGACCAATCCACTACCTCCCTCCATTTGGCCACTGCCTCCCTCCGTTTGACCTGCTTCCCCTATAACCCCAGCTCGCACCGTCCACTATCATCTTCAACCTTCCGAAGATAGTCCCATGCCCCGTAAACCCAGCTCGCATCATCCACTACCATCTTCAACCTTCCGAAGATAGTCCCGTGCCCATATGGTTGCCGGAGCAAATCTCCTCATCAAATCCGGCTGAATTTTTCTCGATCATCCAAAATTAGTTAAGGATTTTTGATCCACTCGATCTACTATTTCCCTTTTTCTTTCTAAAATCAGAGCATAAAACTTGGGATAAAAACGACCGGGGAAGATCGCCGTCATCATCGGCAACTGTTAAACGGAAATTAAATCTGACAAATTAAAGCCGAATCGAAAGGGAAATCATGGAGATTTTTGCAGACAAATTGGAGGAGAAAATGCATTATAACGGGCGAAAAAATAGGGACCAAAAGTGCCCGAAGGCGTGCAGTGAACAGATCGGAATAAAAAAAAGCGGACGAAAAAAAACCAAAACTTTAGCGCGTGCGAAAAAAACTCTTTCGCGTGAAAAAAAAGTCAGGATAAATACCGGTGCCAAAAAAAACGGACTTTTTTTTACTAGCGAGAGTATTTTTTTTCTTTTTTTTTTGGGAAGTCGGACGATTATTTTACGAGATGTTTTTAACTGACAACAGATGTTTTATTTATCAATTTTTGGGTCGGACTTTTTCTTTTCCTTTTTTACCTTTCTGAGTGGGATTTTTTTTTCTATTATACAGACTGCGGAAATTTTTTTGTTCTTTTTTATAGAGATAGTGATAGTTAAGAGATATAAATTAAAATAAAAACATAAAATTTAAATCGATTTAAATATAAATGACTTTTCAAAGTATCGGTAAAAATATTTTTAATTTTTATAATAGTAGAGAATCACGTGCGGTAGGTAGCCAGTCCATCGGACTGTACGCTGTAGCTTAACTCATGTTTTGGTTAAAACTATGCAAACACTCTGATCCTGTCAATTTCTTAATCACCACATGGGCAGCGTGAATATACTCTTGTTTCCTAGCTAATTCAAAAACTATATACACTGACACCGAGGATCTCAATCATCGATGCACTCATCTAATAACTATTTTGTTAACAGATTGATATTAGGGTTCTGTTTGGTTCCATGGGCTAATGTTTAGCCCTTACCTTTTAGGCTCAAATTAACCCTCAAGGATCCAAACAGGTGGGCTAATTTTGAGCTAATGTGAATTAATCCCCCTTAAAACATTAGTCCCTACAAGGGGTGCTAATGGGGCTAATTTTGTGTAGGGACCATAAAAAAGCAGCTCTCTCTCTCCTTCTCTCTCCTCTCTTTCTACTCTCTCTCTACGTTTTAGCCTTGAATTAGCCCATGGATCCAAACATACCACCCTAAACTAATGTTTAGCCTACCAATTTATAACTAAACATTAACTCTTAAAATTAGCCATGAACTAATCTTCCAAACAGGGCACTAGAACCTTGGGGGCTAATTTGGATTGACAGACCCTTGGGGGCAATCAAAGTCAATCAATTTGAATGATTGCATGTCGTCACTACCGGCACCCCCCATTACATCATGCACCATGCAGTCATATGCTTGCGTGTACAAGCTTCAAGATACCTTTTTTTAGCGAAAAATGAAAACCTAATATGGGTTGGTTCTTTGGACAGAGCGGCAGACAGAGATCCCTAACTTCTCATCCCTTGGTGGGAGCCTTTTACGAAAAAGCCCCTCAGCTTCCATATTTTCAAGCGCGGCCATATTCGTGAATTTTCTCTTCTTTGCATGAAATATCCAACTTTCGTAAGGGCCTATATGTAAAACATCAGCTTAGAGGTTTGTTTGTTAGGGGCCTGTATCGAATTACAAATAAACTGAAGGACTTTTTTTGCAAAAATTTCAGTCCGCACACTATACCTATCCGACATGGATGACCCCAGAATCGGCATGAGACACCGGCCTTCAAGAGGTAAATTTCTCTTACTATGTGTTGAGTTTAGAAAGATGGTTGGGTAAGTGCCAACCAACGGTGGTGATAACATCACCAGCTGCGGCTTCATGGGTTAGAAAAGAGCGGTGAATTGGAATTTGCGGTGGAGAAATATAGATGGTCGCACATGTAATTCTCTTATAAATAATAAAAAAAATACAATGGTATCTATTAGTTATCCTCTCTCTCCCGGGTTGGGTAGGGGTGGAGGGCGGTTGTGTCACCATCAGCATTGGAAGGTAAGTATTTGTACTATAGGGCAAGGCGAGGGGTGGGGGAGGGAGGGGCCAAGAGTGACAAGGGGATGTCCTTTTTCCGACGCCGTGCTAGATTGAGGGCACCGTCAAGACTCAAGAGCTCAAGCTCCTTGCCACCATGGAGAGCAGGAGAGAGGATGAAAGAGGGGGGGAGAGAATACCATTGTATTTTTTTATTATTTATAAGAGAATTACATGTGCGACTGTGCGTCCACCTTTTTTTTTACTAACAATAATGACAATTAAACGCCACATAACCCACCATCTAACTACCACGTAGAACAAAGATCATGTCAACATGTTAGGTAAGACAAAACCACCTATGATTGAGGAAGTCTTCATATAAATGGTTTTGCAGTTGGAGCTAGGATAAAAATTAGAATGGGGCTGTTTTTTAAAAATGAAAAAAGAGAAAGAAAGAATGGCCTGGGCTATAGTTGAGGAACGAAAATAGACTTTTTCTTAAACTAGCATCATCCGTTAGTAGGATTTACTTGGTCCCAGTATTCCATCGAGAAAAGGGGCTTTATTAACATTGGGCCAAGCTTTGTTCGAAGGCCCAGATTAACCCATTCGCTGCAATGCAGACAGGATCAGACGTCTGAACTCAGAAGTAACAAAGCTGCAATTCTGTTCGGCGGCAAACACCTACTCCTTCCATCCAAAAAAAAAGTAAATCTAGGACTGGTTGTGACATATTCTACTACAACGAATCTGTCTAGATTTATTATTCTAGGATATGTCACATCTAGTACTAGGTTAGTTTTTTATGGGACGGAGGGAGTACAACCATACCACCTTATCGAATATTCAAATCTCGATGGCCGAAATTAGGTTGGGTTCGTTTCTCTGACAAGAGTTGAATGAAATTTTGGATACTCGTGGCACGCTTTTCAAATTGCTAAACGATGTGTTTCGTGCAAAAATTTTCTATATGAAAATTGCTCTAAAATATCAGATTAATTCATTTTTCAAGTTTGTAATAATTAAAACTCAAATAATCACATGTTATTACCACCTCGTTTTGTCGTTTTGCGTGAAACACTTAATCTTTATCTTAATCGAGATTCAAACACCACTTAAGGATCATGTCGCCAGGTCGGCATAATTTCCATCCATCGGTGTCAAGAAGTCTAGGAATTTCGACGCCCAAAACTCGTGGCAGTTGGATCAGCTACAAATCAGTACTCCAGTAGTACAACATTTAGCTTCCACTCCCATAAATTAACAGCATCTACCTTCCTCTTTCGCAAGCTCAATTTACACAAACACACAGGCAGGTGAGATATGAGGGTAGAGGCAGCTGGAAGCGAAATATATACTGGATTACCTGGCATTTCAATTTGCCGATCTGGTCTGCTACAGCTTTGTTAATTCTTTGTTTCCGTTTGTGTTTGTACTTACCGGAAATTTTATTCCATTGCCTAAAGAAAAAGACAAGGACACGCATATAGCTAATAATGCGAGATAATAATTTACCCACCGAGAACTGCATGCCTGGGTTTCATGTGCGCATGCGTAGAGCTCTGGTTATTCTTGTGAGATGAACAGGATGTCACTGGCGTCGTTGCTGCTACTGCATGCTATATAGCAGCTGTTGCTGTGGCTGGCCTTCTTCAACCTGTCTCCGACCGGTTGGAGGAGCGCTCAGTGCCGGGCAATCCAATGTACAGATCAGTCTCCACGTCCATGGCGTCGGCGGCGCCGGCTGTGCTGCTCGTCATAGGCACGTCCCGCGGCCACGCCGCCGGCGCCGTCGTCGTCGTCATGTGGTTAGCCACCAGCGCCGCAGCCTCAAGGTTGCGATGCTGCAGAGATCAATTGCACATTTTCTCAAGATAATTAATGGAAATTGTTTATATCTCAGATTCTGCCATAAGTCACACAGCCTAAGTTTGTTGTAAAAATGAATCAATTGCACATGTAAATAATGGTGTGGTTGATGGGTCATATATCAATCTGGTTATTTGGATAATATAATTAGGCTGCACATCAGCACATGCATGAGATATCAGATATACTCTGTACGTGCAGCTTTACTGGATAAAAGAAGAAAAAGGTAGTTTGCAGTATATGTTGTTTTGCCTGATAACAGGCGGTTGTTCATAATCATTGATTACCTTTCCGCGTAAATTTTCGTTGTCTTTAAGCAAAGTCCGCTCCTAATATCAGAGAGATGCAAGGAAAAAAATAACATCCAGAGTTAGGGAAAAAAATATATGGAGTTTGATGTATTGCTATAGGGAATAGGAATATGCATTGATTGCGGCTGTATACCTTCTCTTTCAGCTTGGCTATCTGCTGCTCCAGAAGCTCGGTCTAGTGTTAACGAATAGATAATATAGAAGAATGCGTGTTAATAATTTCTGTAAACAGAAGATTATTCATAGTTTCTAAAAAGTTTGCCTTCAATTTTCTCATGGCCATTAGGAGTACTGAAAATAGCTAATATAAACCTTCTTTAGTCTTATCTTGTGGAGGCTCTTCTCAAGTTTCATTTCTAGACCACGCAGTTCTTCAATAGAGAATCCTTCTAAATTTTCTCCCAATATTTTCCTGCATCACATGTAATTCAGAGTGAACTACTGATTTTTTTTTTTGGCTCTCAGGATTATCATGTAATCATACTCCTCAGAAAGAGACACGATTGCTTACCGTCTGGACTCATCAAGAGCTTCAAGTTTCTTGGCCAAGCCTAAAGTATCATCTTTGACTTGCTGCAGTATATATGATTCAACCTTAGAAATTAGAACGTGCATGTTCACATGCTATAGTACTATACTCAAGAATATGCCCCAAAAAATATTGAAGTACTTCAATACTTCTATACATTTTTATACCGCACATGTTTTTTGGTGAAATTACAAATGGAATTTGGCACATATGAGTTAACTAGGAAAATATTGATTCAGCTAAGTCTCATGCAGATAATAATTATTTTTCATCTTAATAAGAAGTTACCTGCAACAATTAATTAATTGAAGGTGCTAAAGTGTAGGATACTAGGATGCAGGCATCCTATTTACTTATATATAGGGGTGAAAACGGTAACGGAAATTCCCGGCCGACTAGCGTTCGTTTCCGACTTTCTACCGGCCGAGCCATATGGAAATGGTAAAAAATATGAAAATGGAAACGGAAATGATTTTGCTGTTGTACCGATCGTTTCCATATTTACCGTATTCTTATGAAAATTACCGTTTCTTATAATGTGGTAATTACCGTATTTCTAAATATGTTGATATCTAAAGGGCACGTCTCTACTTGACCCACAGTTTAGAGATTGATTGATTCTTCAATCAAATCCCTAACTTGAGTGCATGGCTAAAATGGAGTTAATTTATAATTTATATAGTATAGCTTGAATTTATTTGTACATATAACATACTTATATATGTTTTCTATAGTTTAACGTTTTCGTATTTGTTACCGGTTTCCGATCTGTACCGACATGTTTCCGTCCGTATTATTCCGTTTCCGGTTTTCCGATATTTCCGATATCATTTTCGTTTCCGACTTTACCGTTTTTGATTTCATTTCCGAGAAAAATATGATTATGGAAATGGTTGAGGTTGTTTTCCGATCGTTTCCGACCGTTTTCATCCCTACTTATATAGTTCATCCACACTAAGTGTAGTTATTACTATTTCTCTCTTCTCTCATTAAGCCACATCATCCCAATTATTTCTAGCCTTTGGATGATAGATCTATGGTTCAAATTGTCTCTTCTTTCTTCTCTCATAACACCATGCAATCTCAATTATTTATAGGCTCAAAATTCATAAGTACCAATTTGTTTAGTTTTAATAATTATATTGCATCATATATGTACATATTATGTAACTTAATTTCCCGCAGCAACGCGGCGGGGTATTCATCTAGTTTAATTAATAGACATACCAATGGCAAATTAATAGGACTCCCAACAACCGATCAGCTGATGAACATGTTACATGTAGCGCTACTTTACAATGTGTTTGGTACTTTGTACTTTTATTGCTAAATTAACTGCAGTATGTTCTCTTAGCTAAGCTAGCACTAATAACTGAAGATGCAACTTTCAAAAAAAAAAACTGAAGATGCCGCAAAATGTACCACACCACACTACAAGAAAACAGAATGTTCTTGGCGGTCGAAAACCGCCAAGTATAGACTGAAAACCACCAAGGCTAATTATTCTGTTGCCCAACCGCCAAGTCTAGAGAGCTAGGGACATTCTGTTTTCTTGTAATCCTAGAGTCTAGAGCTATATTAACAAACACGCCATTGCTACGTTAAAATGCATGCCAGAAAGTTAAAAGTCAGCAATATAAAATTGTGCCATTAATTGCTAAATTGCAGTACCTTCTGCATCACGCAAGAACTCGTCAACATAAAAAGAAGGAAATAGTTTTCATATGTTGCATGATATATGCGGATTGTGTGTGGAGGCAAGATATTCACCTGGATATCTTGTTGAATTGTCTTATTGTTGACATGATCCTTTGTGTATGCTTTATAGCGGTCGATGGTTTTCTGTAGGCTGCAGAACAGACACAAGGAGCAAACTAAAAATCAGAAGATCGATGATATAATCGTTCTGGGGCAAAAAACATACATACTCTAATTTATTAGTGCATGCATGACTTGAGCTAGCTGTGCTTGTTCCAACCTGCTACAATAAACTAGCTAGCTCTGCTAGCTCAGCAGCTCAAATGTTTGTCTGTGCATATTGCGATGCTACAAACAGTGGTGGCTACAGGCCTATGGCCAACTATATCCAACCAAATTCTTGCCAAAAAAAAGTAGAAACAACGAGAGGTAGATATGTATGTTTCAATGCCAATAGGCGGCTGTTGATTTGACAGTTGCGCTTCCAGCTTTCTCTGAAAATATATCAACACCAGCACTAGCGAGGAACATTTTGTTACCTTCCTAGATATTTATTATATCATAATTCAGATGTTACATCCCAAGCTGTACACACGATAGCACATGCATGGACGTTCTATAGTTACCAATAAGTGAACGCAAGCACTTAAACATCAATAAAATTCAGGACTGCAAGTTAAACTGGTGCATGTTCTGTGTATATCACAAAACGTTCAATTTCAGTACATATGTTAAAAAATATATATTTATTTGAAAAAAAAACATTGCATAATTGACCATCTTTGAGCCAACTTTTTCAAGAAGCATGTCTACATTTGCCAGTATGACAGACATCCTTTGGAGCAATTTTGTTTTTGTATGCAGTTCAAACCAGACTAGGAAATACATCTACTTGTATTACATTTTAAAATGCTTTATTCTTTGTGTAAATTTGGTTCTAAGTATCTATCTTGTTCAAAAAGATTAGATAGTCAACATCTTTTGAGTTTTTTTAGAATCTTTCCTGGTAACAAAAAATTGGGACACAAACTCAAATTCTATCTTTTTAATAAAATATAAAAGGCATAACTGAGTTCCACTAAAATAATATTTCAGGTAATCATTCCATAGGCAGGGCAGGCTCAGTTTAACAAGAATAATGGATACTACGATAAATGTATCAAGTCGCAAAATCACATGTATTATATATAATATGAAACTTTTTCTTGACCGCTATATATTATGAAACTGAACTGTTCCTTCTGTTGTCCACCTAATTAAATGAACAATGCAAGAGCTTCACTCTTCCTAGTGATGGTTTAAACTTTTTGATAATTGGAAAAAAAAGCTGAGGATATATATTCTGGATCCTCCATTTTCATCATATCTGCTTCATTGCCATGCTGGCAATATCTTAGCTAAATAAATAATGCAACTACCTCAATGAGCAATCTTATGTGCAGTGCGCATGCATGTTTCTGAATCAACATAATCTGATTGGCGTGCATAGGAGTGTGCCTACTTAATTATTGACTAGCCTCCTCGCAAAAAAAAATTATTGACTTGCCAAAATGTAGTTGTTATATAGTAGAAACAAATATATTGTATTTGGCTATTCTTTGGGAATAATAACAAGATTCATCAGGTAGGAATTGTTCCAAGCATAAAAGTTTCAACCATATAAACCAACAAGAATCGAAACCTTGTCCAATATAGAATATAATTTTCATTGAAGGATAACACATGTAAGCTAACAAGCCTTATGGATTCGAAATTATTGGCCATGCCTTTTCTTTTTTGCATGAAACACATTCAGACATGCATAAATAGAGTTCGTGTGACCTTATCGGGCTAAAGCTCAAGTTTTCAATTAAATTTTAGCAAGAGCATACCTTCAACATCGGTTGTTGGCACCAACTCAGGTTCACTCAAGGTCAATTTAGATCATTCATTCAACTTGAAAACGAAATTGATGTGCCATGTGCTCAAGTTCAGCTCATTGACAACCCTACTATATGTTATGTAATATGTACAGAAATTAAACAGCCATTGATGGCACAACCATGTTAGAAATCTCAACGTCTAGTAACTGCCTGGGACAGTTTATTTTATAATTTGAAAATCTAGAAAAACATATTTGAAAATTTATATATGAATTTATCTTCACTTTGAAGGGTTATCTGTAGGTACATCTCTAATGGAAAGAGAGAAAAGATCAATAAGATATTTATGTGTGCTGTGAAATTGTGTTATACCTTGAATTACAATTTGAGAAGGAATAATATTGTGGTATGCCCTATGTAGGGGTTTTGTGATGGATTATTGCATTATGATTGTTCATGATGGACTTATATCTATTGATGCGTATCATTATTGATTTTTTTAGACTGGTCAGATCATTATTGATGATTATGTTTTAATAGTTTTCATCTACTTGCGATGTATTGTTTATGCAAAACTGTGCTTTCAATCATGCTGTTTTTCTCTGCCTGCAGGTTACTGAACCACAGTGAGTTCAAAATTTTAGATTTGAACATTTGTCTAATACTCCCTCCATTTCATAACGTAAGTCATTCTAGCATTGCCCACATTCATATAGATGTTAATGAATCTAGTCATATGTTTATGTCTAGATTCATTAACATTTGTATGAATGTGGGCAATGTTAGAATGACTTACATTATGAAACGGAAGAAGTAACAACCAGCAAGCGGTACGGGTATTTCCGGCAAAACCAGTATTGAAAGCTTTGGTTGCAGCACTTGTAGAATTGGGGCGTGTTGCCTGTACACTAAAGAATAGTTCGAGCTCAGCTAACTAATAGTAAGGATTATTACAAAAGTTAGTTTCACACTCATTTTTATGAGAAGAGTATAATACTATTAACACATATACCTTTTTCCCATTGAAATACAAATACTCTATAACCAAATTATAGATATTTTTTATATACATTGGGCCCATACGGCAAAGCTCCAACTCCACCTCTCCTTGAGCTAGAGCCCAACCAAACGGTTTCAGCTCCACCTACAAAGAGAGAGGAGAATGCTAGAGTGCTTTTATAAAATGAACTAGAGAGGTAGAACAGAATTTAGCTAGTACTTAGAGTTGGAGCCCTGCCAAACAAGCCCATTAAAATATTTGTAATTAATCATTTTCTCTTTGTTACTCCTACATATGGGTCTATGGGGGTACTATGCCCCTAGATAAGCCTTGTTTGGTAATGGACTTTTAAAGAAAGCTAATATCTGTTCGATAAACATATGAAGTTATTACTACCATTGAGCTGCTACTTTCTTGCTAGACCTAGTGGAGACTTTGCAGCTATTAATTTGATAGTACCAACATTGATTTTAAATTGAAGTTTTCCTGAAACGGCCAAAAATTCAGCTGGTATATATATATGCATATCCGGCTGCACCATCTGTTCTTTGTTCTTTGTGACAGTACTTGCATTGCCCCATTCTGCCCAGAATGGAACGGATTTGAAAAGAATGAACAAAAACCATAAATGTTATGCATAAATGTTATTAAGATTAGTATGTATAGTGTAGTTTATTAGGGTAAAAGGTAAGTTTGATTTATCCATATTTCAAATAAAGTATTTGGAAAAGAAGACAAAACTGACAACAACACTGTAATTATGAGCAATTGTATTTCAGAGAAATTAAGTATCTTAAACAGGACTAAAGACAGCACACCGATCATACTACCTCCGTCTCATAATAGATGTCGCTTTGACTTTTTCGTTACAACGTTTGACCCTTTGTTTTATTTGAAAAATTAGTGCAAATATAAAAAAGATAAGTCATATTTAAAATACTTTTGATAATAAAGCAAATCACAAATAAAATAAATAACAATTGTAAAAAATTTTTGAATAAGACGAATGATCAAACATTACAAATAAAAACTCAAAGCGACAAGTAATATAGGATGGAGGTTGTATATATAATGTTTACAGTTCACGTACAAAAGATCTCACATTAGACAAAGCAACTAGCTAGTTGCATTAACTCTCTATATATGGACTGACTAATTAGGTTGATAAATATCTAAATTTGACCATGAGAAGTGTGGTGCCTACACGTATATATATACTTGCTTGGAAGATTCAAGGCAAAGTAATTTCAGAACAAACTTTAAGATCATAATTAATATGTAACATTGGCCAAATTTGGCATGATTCAGTAATATACTCATGAAAGATCGATCTATGGACAATGTATTTTTTTCACATAGGTATAGATTTCTGGTTAAACGATATATATCAAGTACTTAGAACTTAGAAAATACTCCCTCCATTAACAAATATACACATGCCAAATTGTTTAGTAGAGATTAAAGTTGAGAAGAAAATATTTTGGTGCCCCTCATTAAAAGAGAGAGAGTTGGAGGAGAAGATAGAGAGATGGAGGTGGGACGGTGGTTGAGTGTAAGTTAGAAAGAAATTTGAATGACGGGTGATTGTTGTAATAAGTACTCCATCGATCTGTTCTAAAATAAATGAATAAGCTACTTTATCACTTATATATGAGCCAAATAATGAGGAAAGGCAAATGACCTAAATGAGGGATGTTTAGAAGTGGGAGGGTAGTTGAGGTAAGATAAGAAGTTTGAACAAGAGGTGATTAATAGACAAGTAGCACTGTAATGTGATCACTTATCTTGAAACAAATTTTACATCCAAATTGGTCACTTATTTTGGGAAGAGGGATCAGTAGTACTCTAGGAATAATCATCATATTTGTGGATAAATTTTAAATGCTTCAAGTGTTCATATATTTATGGGTAGGAGGAGTACTAAATATGATCAACAGATAAGAATTAAGGCACACGATAATCTGATGAAGTAACATAAGCATTGCTCACACTCTTAAAATTATTGTTTTAAAGCCAAAGCATTCTACGGATTGCGAGTTATCACATGCTATTCACAGTAGAATTAACTTCATTTGTACTGTTGTTTGGGCAGATCAATCGACGACCTATAAGACATGTCAATCACATGCTTACCAAAACTCCTTTTCCACTCAGCTTTACATGCTCTACAATCTAGCTTCTTGATAATGTTTATTAAGAAGTAACGTAAGTAATGAATGACAATCCATAGTTTTGCACTTACATTAGAAGAAAGTTCGTTGCATATCATAGCTTGCAAACTCAAGAATTTTCTAGATAGATCTTCCTAATTGAGAAAGAGGGAGAGCATACATATATATGAAGTGTGATGGAAATATTATGTTGTCGAGTATTGGCATGGAGTACTAATTAAGTTATGGAGTACTTAACATCACTTAATATCATGGAACAACATTGAGTGTTCCCTAGACTATGGTTTGGAAACTACATGCACGACAATGAATTAACTGGCAACGCTTTTTCACTGCCGTAGACATATAAGCCTGATAAAGAGATGGATATTAAGGTGCAACAAGCCATGTCTAAGAGATGATGATTAATCTATAATAAACGGTGCACCTGATCACCAAAATATAAGGATTATAGTACAGTGTGCGCCAGATAAGGTACGTACTCTCCACTCTCTCCACTCTCCAGCTGGAGTGGGTGCAAGAGAACTAGGAGTAAGATACACAATACGAGTACTATATCCACAAGGAAGAGGGGAGAAATATATAAATCACGGTTCCACCTAACAAATTCGGACCTGCTGAAAACTGAAAAAATATTCAGAAACAGCCATATCGCATGCTATGTACTGTGGCCAACGTCATACTGTGTATGATGGAAAGATACCCCCACACCATACCCTCGACGAACGGAGCTGATGCGACCAATCCGTGGTACGTTTTGCGAGAGAAATCAACTTGGCTAGCTCATCAGCCAGTGTACGATCGAGAGGGGAGCAGTGCAGTGGTGTGGATCGAGAGAGAGAGAGAGAGGGTGCAGGTAGGCGCCCAATGATCTCTCATCTCACTGACCGGATGTCACATTAGCTTGTTTCTCCATTTGTAGTCTCGCACGCTCGCAGGCTCGCAGCCTTCTTCCTACCCCGCAATTACTGGCCACGCACGCCGGCCGGCCTCCTTCCTCCCATTGGCTGCCATTTACTTTGGTTTTTCTTTGTATATTGGCTATCTTGGGTTTATTACCTCTGCCTTCTTGTACGTTTTTGTCCTTGATTTTATTCAGAGGTCAGGAGCCTCCTTTAATCGTCAATTTTCCCGCGGATCGAGAACAAGAATCGACGAATGGGGAAGGAAGATGCACAGAGACGCGCCAGAGAATCAATCCAGAGCTCGTGGACATGCTCCATGGAACAGTTGTTAACATGTGAGAGGAAGAAGAAGATGAATGAAGAAGAGATACTACAGGCAACTGGTGGTGACTGTGAGAGAGTGCTGAGGTGTGGGCATATCCATCCGGTCTCCAGGGCCGTACAGATATTTAGGGGGAGAGAAGGGGTCAACTTCTACAGGAGTTCACAGCTTCCAATAATAACAATAATAGCAAGTGAGAAGCAAGACGAACTAGTAGGCTACTAGTAGTGTGTGTGGCCGGCGGTCGCCGTCGCCGTCGTCTTCGTCGTCGCAGCAGCGGTGGCCAAATCCGCAGGTGCCAAATCCGAACAGAGAACCCATTTTTGTTCGACGGAATTAAGGGCAGGAATTCAAACTCTGACGAACAAGCAATCCCAACAGCCGAATCCTCAAACCCCCCAAACCACAAAAATCACCCGATTACCACAGAGAGAGAGAGAGAGAATGAAATCGCATTTGCATTTGATGCAGCAGCACGACGAGGGCGAAACGAGCGAGAGAATAATTTCCGGCGAGAACTTGCCGAGAACGAGAAGAAGGTATACCTGGGGGCGCTGGCGAACTCGTAGAGGCGGCCGCGGGGGGAGAAGACGATGAGGGCGACCTCGGCGTCGCAGAGGACGGAGAGCTCGAACGCCTTCTTGAGGAGGCCATTCCGGCGCTTGGAGAAGGTCACCTGCCGGCTCGTCGGGTTCTCAATCCGCTTCAGCTCCGTCCTCCCCCGCACCATCGATCCCGATCTCTCTCGACCGCCGCCGCCGACGACGACGACGACTCGACTCGAGCCGCCGCTACCCGCTACTCCTCCCCCTCCTCGCGCAAGCCCTTATAAACTACCCCCCTGCACACGCGTCGCCGCAAACCACCAGAAGTGAAAAATAGTATATTAAATCACCAGATCAAAACTGGACAAAAGTGGACAGATCTGAGAAAAACCGGAGACCCCCCCTCTCACCCGAAATGGCTCGACGACGACGGCGACCTCGCGCCGCCGTGGGTGCGGATTTGCGAACGGAAATCGCGGCCGCGCGAGAAGGCGAGAGGCCGGGTAGTAGTAGTACTAGCAGTAGCGGATGGGAGGTGGGGGAGTGGAGAGACGAGACGAGACGAGGGCGAGATGGGTGGGGAGGGGAGAGGAGGAGGAGGTAGCCAAATAAAGAAGGCGACCGCGCGAGCGACTTCCCGTCCTGGGAAACCCGCGACCCACGAGGCGCCCGCGCGCGAGCGCGAGTGCGACCGACCGAGACCGGCAATCGCCATTGGCCGTGGATCGCCGTCGTCTCTCGTCCCACCTCCTCGCGCGGAAAGGGGCGTAGGAACAAGTGGGCGAGGCCCCGCCCCAACACTACCACCAGGTGGCCCCTTTCCGCTTAGCTGGCCTCCGCCTATGGGGAAAGAGAGATCAGAGGGACCGCGCCAATTGGTGGGAAAGAATTCACCCATTTGCACCCCAGGTATTCCCGCCTAGGACATTTCTGGCAACTGCATTAGAGCAAGGCTAATAATACAGCCGACCTATTGGCTATAAGGTTCTTTGTAGCTTTCTCTCAGCCTACCTATATAATAGTTAGCTCTTTACAATTAATATAGGACCCATTTGTCTCTCTCACAGAGTTTCTTGGTTCTTATGCTCAAGCCGGCTGTAAGTCTACAGCCCGCTTCTCTCATCCACCTCAGCATTTAGCCGGCTTATAGCCTACTATTATACTTGCTCTTATGCTTAGATTGATGGTCAAGCTTTAACCATTTTGGTTCTTATTACTTCCTTCGCCCATTAAAAACCAATCCAGCTAGTCTTGGATGTAGAACGTGTCACATCCACATTCAGTCCTAGCTAGATTCATTTATTGCAGGACGGAGGGAGTATGTCCTAATGTACATATTATTGATTCTATGGAGTGAACCTCTCGATTTAACCGTGGATGTGCCCCTAACACATACTCGAAGAGACGGAGACCAGCGAAAAATCCCTAATCTCATCACTAAAATGAACTAGTTAAAGTTGTGTTAACATGTACCACAAGAGTGGCTCACATCCGTTTTCCGACCCAATAAAAGAATCTACCATTGCTAGAAATAAATAAATCAAACGGCCCATGAATGGTGGTGGGGTTTGTTTCTATCCTTGTCCAGACACCAGAGTGGGATATGTCAAAAGCAAGTGGCTAGGCGTATGGCTTGTTTTGTTTTTCATATATATGGCAATCGTACGTTAAAGCGTGGCTATCTGCCAACTATTTTCCCTGTGAGTAGCCCGTTAAAGTTTTTGCGGGCAAGAGCGTGAAATCTTAGGATAATCATGGCAATAGCGACATGCTTTGATTTCACATTCTCACGAAAACACATGTGCCTTTTAATTAAAACCATATGCATGGGCGTGGACTTTTCAATCAGAAAATAGTATCTGGCCATCTCAATGAGAGCAGTACTCGAATGAAAAGTTGTGTGCTAATCTTATATAAAAAGAAATATCTCAATATAATATTGTGAATGCCGTATCAATTTTATAGCCATTTGTACTTACAATCATAATTTTATTTACAACATGGGACAACCAAATTAGAACTCCTCTAGAAGAAACCAGGATTATATGCAGAAACCAAAAGAGGAAAGCATGTAGCAATCTATCTGAATTTCACAAAAAAAAGGGGTACAAATCATCACAATTGAGCCCTTGACATGCATAGTACGCATGCCATTCTTGTGCAAATCAGAACACAGCATCATTCCATGCTACAAACTCATTACCAAAAATCAGATACTACAATTTTGTTTTGAGAAATAATTCTACTGTTAAATGCGATGTAAACTAGTACTATATTTGAACCCATAAATCTGATGTTAACTTGTAGCCTAATCGAGAAACAAAACGGCACCTACCCTGGTGAGTGGTGAGTGGCAAGACCTAATCCAGCATTGCTACAGTGCCATCCATCCCTAGTATAGCACGTAACGTATATAGACCGTTGGATCCAAAGGCAGAGAGGAGCAGATTATTCACCTTTGTAGCCTGTACCGCATCTAGCAACAGTGAAAAATGTACTGTGCGTGTACTGTAGTACTCCATAATCCCGTCTCCGTCGCCTACGACAGCCCCACTCCTCCAATCTCCAAACGGGAAGTGTTCGCAAAAAGAAAAAAACCCAAACCCCAACTTGGAGCATGGGAACGAGCAGCTGTGACAGGTGGGCCCTAGCTCGGTGGGTCCCACTGTGGGGTCAGAACGATGGTCCGACGATTTCTGCCAATCCCGGGGGTTTGGTGGGGCCCACGGGCGTGTACGAGGGTTGGGAGCCGGTCGGGGGGCCTCACGAGCGGGTGTACGGACGGACCGCTGCGATGGCGACACGTAGCCGCGGTCAGGGGCCTGCCTCGTCATCCGGGCCATCCCCTGTGGGGATCCCGCACGTAGGACTCCCTTTCAGTTTTCACGTGACCCACACAGGTTGCAAAGACCGGGGAGACAACCTCGCCGGAATAAATGGGCCTGCTATAATTGGTGCGGTTCGTGGCATTTTCAATATCGATTTAGCGGCGTTCTAATCTCATTTGATTATATTCTAGTAATAATTTTAGTACCACTATGAGATTAGATGGTCGTCTATATCGATGAACAGCGATGCATCAATGGTAGACAGCAATATATTGTACTATTTTACATGGTTAATTGGTTGTGGGGGCACCCACGTGGGTTGCGTAAGTGATACGCAAACTAATATAATAGGGCGTAAGCTGTATATTAAAAATCTACAATATGCATATTATCTAGGCTTTTTGGAAGTAGGTCCGGTTTAGATTCAAAGTTTGAACCCAAAAAAGTCACATCGAACTTTTCTACTCACGCAAACTTCTAACTTTTCCGTCACATCGTTCCAATTTCAATCGAACTTTTAATTTTGGCGTGAAACTAAACCCACCCGTAGTATCACCTTTTTGTAAGGTCTATCGTCTTACCGCACTTTAAGAAATTGTTTTATATAGGTTCGGTATAAACTTAACAATATTTATCTTAAACTAGTTTTTAACTACTTAACAGTGTATAAATTTTGTCAAATATAAAGAACTTGTATGTACAGACGCAAATGAATATTTGTAAAAAGAAATTTAGTCAGTGCAGAGCATGAGACATATCTTCCTACTCACCTATTCATGCTTAAGCGCGGTATGCATGCCGTACAACAACATGGCACCAAAATAATTAACCTTTTTCACTTTGGAAGGCGCAGGGTAATATGTTTTTCACGTGAAATCATGTGTGCACGTATCTGGATGTGCTCCTTTTTAGTTTTACAGCCCCAAAACGGTGGTAAGCTATTAGTGGAAAGTGTCACTTCACAACTTTTCATACATTGTCTTTGAAATTTCTCTCTTTCTGTGGTCTCTAGCCATAAGGTTAATATGAAGATGTATTATGTTTTAAACTCTTGAATAGCCATTTAATTTGCGATAAAACAAGGGATTAGAGTTCAACATATTGGGTGGTTATTAGTAGCTAGTACAGTCTAATTACTTAAAAGGATAACCACACTCCTTGCCCAAAAAGAAGCCTAACAAGGATAACAACCGACGTCGGCTGATATTTCCAGTCTTTTTCTCCTAATATCTTATATTAGTATAAGTCAATAATATGTCATCATTGTGTGACAATTTTTCCTTGTCCTACTCCTATTGGAATTAGTGGATTGACAACTTTGGAGTAGCGTCAAATACTATTAGTGTGCTGTTATTTATGCTACCCTGCATAATCATCTGTTAGCTAGGTTAGTAGGTCCTGGATCCAATAGTACAGTAACAGTGACATGATCATCTGGAGATCTGCGTGCATTAAAAGTGTAGATATGCGTCACTTGTAAGTTTTGTGGTTCTTAGCCGCGTCCGCTGTTACTGTTGAGGTTTGCAGCCACTAGTAGTAGCGGTAGTAGCTGCGTGGAAAAGCCATAGCCAAGCCAGTCGAACATCCCTTTATAAAGACGTGAATATTAGGAAAAAACCTAATATCAAATAATTAGATGTGGTGAGGCTTTAAACCCAAGTCGTTGTGTAGCTAGCCAGAATACCTCTAGATGTTTCTCTGAACATCCCTTTATTGTTTTGGATGTAAAATATGACACGTCCTATATATATGTTTGTTACTTACTCCGTTTCAAAATATAAAGTTGTATGGGACACATCTTATCACTTCGAATCTGAACAAACTGCTTAATTATCTAAATTCGTAGTATTAGGATGTCCCATATAATCAAAACTCCTTATATTTTGTGATAGAAGGAGTATACTCGATCGAGTATACTTGGTTAATTACAAATGAATTATAGTTGTTAAGTGATGAACACATCTAGCGAACCTCTCCTAGTACAAGGGGTGCAATGATCTCCCCGGATTCCATCTGCATGTGCCTTTCACTGATGGCTTCGAACTACGCTACACAATCTGAAATGTCCTTTTATATCTGTATTTGGTAGTAACACAATAAGTTGCATTGAAGCAGCAGTGTACTGCTAGCTACTACTCCTCCATGCAAATAAACAAGGTGAAAGAAGATATTGAATGCTGAGTTTTGGGTAGCTAGGTTGCATTGTTGAGCTTGTGCATGGGAGCATGTAAAAACCAATGGGGAATAACTTCTTTTGAGATTTGTACTGGGCAGCTTAAATTAGAAGATAGTGGATTTGTGGTCCATGCAATTATAGTAAGTGTCTTTTTCTCTTATGTACTAATTAAAGGTTTTTCCTAGTACCTGACAGGTGCAGCTCGTACCTTTTGAAGCTTTTGTTCGGTTTCTTGTAAAATTTTACTATTGCGTGATTGTCCTTTGCACAGTTGTTGTACCAGTGAGTAGTGACCTCGCACTTGGGTTTCAGAGTTGGAATGAGTATACTTTGAGGTGATTGAGATTGACTAGCATGGTACAGAGGTAAAGAGCCCTTCCTACTGGAGAGAATCCTTGTAAATTGTAATGTTAAACTGACACAGTAGGATGTACAAAAGGAGTTAACCATGCTACCACTTCTATACTTCTTCCATCACATAATGTAATTTCTTTTAGATAGACACGAGTATTAAGAAAGTATGTAGCGATGAGTGGAGGAGAGTTGTGATTAGCGGAAAAAGAGAAAATAGGTGAAAAGAATGGTTGTGATTGGTTGAGATGAGAGGGTGGGTGAAAATATAGCTTTATTTTGGGAAAAGTTACTATGCTAGAAATAACTATATTTTAAGACGAAGATGACAAGATTGTGGTGAATACTGATAAAAAAGAGTAAGTCCCCAAACAAGAGATATTATGTACTCTACAAAACAATGGCCATGTTTTTAAAAGAAGGTGAGTGATACTTGTGATTGATTAAGATAAG